TTGGCACTACGCCGGCACAGAGCAAACCTGTGCGATGGCTGTTTTCTCTTTTTAACTCTCACTGACCAATTTTGTTAAGAAAATACTTGTGACCTCACACCTGTAACCGTAGTACTTTCTTATATTAGTTATAACTTTTTTCTTCTTATTAGAATAAAAGGGGGAAATGTGGTGATATTGTGTCTGGGCTAAAATGTGATATTTTATGTGTATGTTAGTAAGTCAAGTTGCCTGGGGGTGGTGAAGTACAGAGACCAAAGCGGGAGGCTTGTGAGTTTGAGACCAACCTCGACTACGTGGGAAGACCCTGTCTCAACAACAAAAACAGAATACACTTGTACTTCCCTTTGTACCAGCCAGCTCTGGCTTGCCCCCAGTTCCACCACAGTCTTCTGGAACAACTGTAGTCTGGGTGGAAGATCTGTAAGACTTTCTTAATGCTGAGCCCTGTAGAGGACTGTTGTTGCTCACGGCGGCATACCAGTTCAGGGGGACGTAGCAGAATTCAGTTCCCATCTGACTTTCCTCGGGTCTGTGTATTTTTGGCCAGTGCACCTTCTCCCGGTTAACCGTGCCTTGCCCATTGTCTTTCTCCGGGTGGAGTGGGGTCCGGGTAGCTTTGTTCTGCTCTTCATTCTCAGCTGGGAATGAAGGCTCCATCTAAGGCCACCATCCTCCTAGTACTTCTGCAATAGGCTCTTGACCTCAAGCCACACCAAGATGGCTTCATGTGGCATTCAAAAGGGTAAGGCTCTTAGGTGGGAGAGGGAAGGCTGTGGAAGACAGGACACTGGTGTGTTTTTGAGCAGTTATCCACATAAAGGGATGTCTTATATTTTGAAAGGAACCATACAGAATAGCACACATGGAGCCCACTTTTCACAGTGATGCAACCTCTAGACCAGAGGCCACGATAGCCGTTCCTCATCCCCTGCTGTCTTTGCATTCGAGGACAATAGATCCTTGTTCCTGGAAATGTATAAGTATAAAGTCTTTCCTTTCAATAATATAAGTGGAATGTTTATAAATTCTAAAATTAACTTGAAAATATTACCTCACTCTTCTGGGGGAAAAAAAAAATCTGTAAGCGCCTTCAGCTGTTTGGAACATGGCCCCAAACCTGAGACGACAATGAAAAAGAACAGTAATCAAGTACAAAACAGTAAAGCAGACTCCTGAGGAAGTGAACTGCCCCTTCCCCAATGCTGTCTCGGGGCTCCTACCTCACCCACACAGCACAGTGACTGGAAATGTTGGTGACATCCAAGCAACACCACACCCAACTGCAGGCGGCCAAGGAAGAGGACAGGGCAGCACCGTTCCTCAGTCAAGGAACTCAGTGCCTGGCAGGGAGGGGATGTCTAAAAGGATAATGGGCTTACTTTTTGCTGCCAAGTGATCTGCTCTCCTAAGCCGTCCCATGTGAGGTGCCAGGGCGTAGATAAGAGTGGTCAGATGCTCTCACAGTCATATGCCCAGTGTATAAATGTTCAACACACAATAAGCAAGACAGTCGGAAAACAGTAGTAAAGGAATAAGCAACCTTGAGTTTCATGTTACATCACATGGTGTGAAAGTAAAGAGATCTGTGACAGTTGTAGCTAAAAATGTGTTTCGGAGCCAGGCAGTGGTGGCACATGCCTTTAATCCCAGCACTCGGGAGGCAGAGACAGGTAGATCTCTGAGTTCAAGGCCAGCATGGTCTACAAAGTGAGTTCCACAAAAGCCAGAACTGTTGCACCAAGAAACCCTGTCTTGAAAAACAACAGAAAAAAGGCAGGGGTAGGGGGGTCGCTGAGGGGATGGTTCAAGTCAGAACAGATTAGAGCCACAAAGCCTCCATGAAATCTCAATGCGTGGTAAGAAGAGTGACATCACCCTCCTAGAGGAAATGACCTGGAAGGACAGGAGCGAGAGAGAGCATGTCCTGCGTCGGCAATACTGCTCACAACTGAAGATGCCCAAGATGGAGCATGGGAGCTGGTGTGTGGGCTCCTGTTTGGGAGACCTTGCAAAGCAAGTGAGACATAAAGTCTAGTTTTCCCAGTTCTCTTGTACCCAACATCAGGGACATCGTAATTTAGAAAGGTTCTGTTAAGTCAGGGAAGAGCTTTCATTAGTGATAAAATGAGAATTCACTGAAGACTTGAGAGAAACGCTGATATGTGAGGAAAGTCTTTTGGAAAACTGACTAATGCATGTGTTCAGCAGATTAACGAAGAAAGACTGGCTCCTGAGATTAAACTCAGAGGTTATCTTGTTAATCTAGAGAGGTTGGTAAGAGTCTGGAGCTGGTGAAACTAGGTTGAAGGAACTCGGCATGAACCTTGAAAATGCTATGCTGAGTGAGAGAAGACACACACACACACACACACACACACCACACACACACACACTGTATATGGTTCTGTTCCTATGACATAGCTTTATAGGGACAGAAAGTAGATTAGTGATTCCTAGAACTTGGGGAAATAGAGCGTGATGGCAGTGGAGACTTAACTACTCCATTTGGGAGCTGCAGGGAGGGCTGCTTGTAGTGAAGTGTGCAACTCTAAGTAAACCAAGGTTTAAACTGAAATAGCTGAGTGGTGTGGTGTGTGAATTATATCTCAATAGAGCTGTTATTTCCAAATAGTGGGAGAGGGAACCAATAAAACACAATGAATGAATGACAGGATATCTGTGTTTGATGGAATTGAATCGCTCATGGTCAACGCGTAATTTCCACCTTGGCTATCAATGAAAGAACAAGAACTGCTACTAACACTATTATTACTTGAAATATGTGCTTCTAGAATACGCCAAAGAATCGTATAGATATGATTATCATCAGTGAAAATTCAGTAGCACGATTCTTTGTCACTGAACACAAATATCCTAATATTCTAGCAACAGCTAAAATAAAATTCAAAAATTTAATCTTGAAATAGTCTAGAAGTAAAATGGAGTGGCTTCTTGAGAGGATAAACTGATTCTTATTAGTTAATAAATGAAATGTTAGTAAAATGGAGGTATGTGTGTAGTGGGTTTTTTTCAAAAGGCCATTAGTTTCCCCAGGTAGGAATAAATATACATCACTGGCCATATCAAATCAGTGAAATATTTCAGGAGCCTTCAAAATCTTCATCCTCATGTCCCGATGAGTTCTAGATGGAGAAGAAACTTAGATCATGATGCTCAGTCTCTTTCAGACCCTGGATGAGAACCTGTGTCTTCCTGGGGGTCGCTCCTCACCTCCTCACCAGGATTTCAGACCATCCTAAATTTTTGGGCCTCTGTTTAAATGAGTCATTAATTGTGATTGCTCAAGGAGGAGAAAAGGAGCCTAAACTCAGCAGGATTGTCACCACAGTGTAGAATCAGGGCTGTGACATGGGACAGTGTTTGGTGGTTGGGCATTTCCTAGAATGTGTGTCTGTCTCATGTGTTGGTGGTAGGTGCGTGCCCCTCTGGGGTTATTGAAGTTAACAGTCCCTGAGAGAACAGAGCTGGGAGAGGTTTGTCTAGTATACCTACATCTTTCTATAGGTTCTGGAGGGGGGGGGAAGAGAGGTGAAGAGTGGGAGAGCACATGATGGTCCAGCTCAGAAAACAACCCTCGTAATCTCTACCCTCTCTATCAGGAAAAGATCCATCTCTAAAAAGCGATAAACTTGATTTTACATTCAGTTTTTGTATTTAATACAAAATGATATACACTTGATACTGTAAAAAGGCAAAGCCACAGTATACAGAGTGGCAACCCGGCATCTCTGCCCTGTTCCCTCCTCTGCATTGACCATTGTGGTATTGTTCCCAATGCTTAAAATCCTCCTCCATTTCCAGCCTCATTTTCCTATAAACAATTGCCATCCTTGAAGTCTTCTATTTTGAATTCCCAGTCATTATGCTTACCCATTTCTCTGGGTGTGACTACTGTGTCTCACTTAGGTGTTAATTGGAGGTAAAATTGTCATTTGAACTAGGTACTTATTAGAGAAAAAAAGGTATCCAGGTAGCTATTCCTAGTTATTTCTGGCAGTCTCTAAGTTGACTTCATCTTTTTTCCTGATATCAAAATCAGCATATAAAGAGTCATTAATAAAGAAATTAAGGAATTAATGCAGAAATAAAGGGCAGACTTTTGTCTTACTGGTGTGTGAGGTGTTGAAGTCTTTGAAGCCTATAAATAGTAGTTAAGTATAAAGTGATATGACTGCCATGGGTTCCAGAGTCATGGATTTTGTAGGCCAGCAAGTACAATGATAACAGAGGGGCCGACAGGCGCATCCGTGGCACACGGTGGGATCCACTGCCTTGTGGACAGCCCATGCCTTGTCGGGAGCATGCAGCGAGGGTCATTGTCGTGCTAGAATTCAGGCTAGTTTTGCAAGGTCATTGGTTCTTTTCAAAAGTAGACAAAAGTTGCTGTTTTGCATTGTCACTGCTGCTCTTAATGTGAAGACCTCCATTTTTTAAATTTGCTCATTTAAAAAAAAAAGCTAAGGAATTTAAGATTACAAGCTGAAAACGGCCCTCAAAACAGGTTACACCTCTTTAAATGATCACATTTACCAGCAGCAAGAGAAAGCCGCTCTTCTTTATTTGCTGCGTGTTCATGGGGGAGAGAGTGGAAATGACGTCACATTAATTCATCAGAGGAAAGCTGTGCTGCTGACCTAATCACACAGGCCTCCGAGCCCATGCTTCCTCTGAGTGTCCTGCAAACTGCCAGCCTCCTCCTCTGAACTTGGTCTCCCTAGGTCGGGCTCCCCATGCCCCACACCACACTGCAAAAGCAGGAACCCAGAAGGAGCCTGGGCATCCTCGTTTCCAAGCTCCAGTGGATAAACCGGTTCCCTTGGAGCAAAGTCCTGTGCCTTTTCCCCACTGAGCTGCTGGGAAATTGTAATTAGAGGTTTTCCTGTTGTAAGGGAAAGAAAGGCACCCCTTCCCTCCCCGCGTCTGCAAGACTCGAGTTCTCAATGCTGTGCCTCCCTGTCCTGTCTCTCTTTCTGCAGGTGATAGAGGGCAAGCTGGCTCCGTTCTTGGGCAAGGTCATTAAATTCGCCACCTCGCACGTCTACAGCTGCAGTCTTTGTAGCCAGAAAGGGTTCATCTGCGAAATCTGTAACAATGGCGAGATCCTCTACCCCTTTGAGGACATTTCAACAAGCAGGTACAGACTATCTCGGCCTATGGAAATGTATCCCAGTGTCACCTGCGCTTTCATCCAGGCAGCTTTGGCCTGAGCTGTCTCTCCCACACCCATCTGTCATCGGGTTCCTCTAGTTACTGAAAGACAGTTTCCTCCCTTGGCTTCCCATTTGTTCCCAACCCTTGCTCTCCATCTTTATGCAGAAGGAGCCCAGAGAGCTGCAGAGGAATGCTGCCTCACTCTAGCTCATTAGGTAACGACCTGTGTGTTCAGATTCAGCCTTGGAATAGATTAGGGAAGAAGACTCCCACCCAGCTTTCCAGAGCCAAATGATTAGAAATGGGAAAAAATGGAGACTCTGTCTCAAAACAAAAAACAAAAAAAACCAGCAACAACAAACAGAAATGGGAAATGGCCTCCTCAAAGGAAAGCCAAGCTTAAATTGACTGCTCGAACTGCAACTCAAGGCCCTGGTGAGGAGCACATTTTCCAGACAAGGCAGAGATGAAAGTTTTAGGGCCCAAAGACAGAGAAGTGGAAGTTCATGGGGCTTAGTTTTCTAACCAAAGTCATGTTTGGGCCTCAGCACGTCTCTGGCAGATGGACAGCTTTCCCACTGACTTAGATCAGTTTTGACTATGGCTTTTCTAGACTCACAAAACGATACATAGCACTTTTCCTTTCATCCCAGAAACATAATAGAAATACTCACTGTGTGTGCTCTGGCTTCTTTGGCCATGAGTGTCATGGCTCATTTCCACCCTGCAAAGCTCATTTACATTGTGGTTCAGAGCAGAAAGGAGGCGTGTAGCCAGGATGAGCATGTAGAGCAGAGCTGACGTGGTGAGCGTTGACTCAGCCCTTGGCCACTTGTTAAACCCAAAGACGATTTATAAGCATTCAAGAACTTGGGTTAGCCGATACGTAGAAGGACACACAAATGCAAAAGTGTCCTGAGTGTGGATCCTTTGCTTTTTTAGATACACACTCATAACATAAGAACTTATACACAAGTGGTCATAGCAAAAGTATGTATAGTATCATAAAAAAGGAAACAACCTAAATGCTTATCAGCTGACGAAGAAACAAAATTTGATGTATGCCCCCAGTGAACTATTCTTTAGCCTGGAAAAGTGATGTAGAATTGTTGCATGCCACAATATAGACTTAACAGAAACTGGGTGCAAAAAGCCACATTTTATATGATTCTCTTTTTATAGAATGCCCCAGATAAGGAGATCCAAAGTCAACTTGTGTTTGCCTGGGGCTTGAGAGAGGGATAAGGCCTCTAATGAATACAGGGGTTTTGATGATGCAATTGTCGTAGGTGTAGATTGCAGAGATGGTCACACAATTTTGTGATTGCTAAAACTCATGAATTAGAGGCCTTGAGGGCCAAGCTTTATGGCACACGAGTGATACTGTGATAAAAATGAGTAATAAAAATTAAGATGCTTCCAAACGAATAAGCCATATGTTGGGTCACAAAACAGATCTCAGTAAGCTTAAGGAGACTGAAACTATACCGTGTGTGTTCTCTCGCACATAGAATTAAAACTCCACACTAGGAAAAGGACTGGAGACCCCTGAAATGTTTGGAAACTAAGCAGTGTCCTTCTAAATTACTCCCGGGGTAAAGGAGCAATCACAAGGGAAATTTTTGAAGTATTTTTAAGTGAATGAAAGTGAAATATGTGCATATGGAATGAATATGTAAAAATATTCTTTTTTTAATAAAGAATGTTTTTGAATAAAGAAATGTTAGGCCGCCTGGTGGTGGTGGCAGTGGTGGCGCACGCCTTTAATCCCAGCACTTGGGAGGCAGAGCCAGGCGAATCTCTGTGAGTTCAAGGCCAGCCTGGTCTACAGAGCGAGATCCAGGACAGGCTCCAAAGCTACACAGAGAAACCCTATCTCGAAAAACCAAAAAAAAAAAAAAGTTAAATGTTAGGCCAACAGGTTTGCCCAGCCTGTGTCCTGTGGCCTATGGTCCACATGAGGCTGCATGAAGCCAAGGACAGCTATGAATGCAGCCCAGTGCCAAACTGTGAACCTAATGGAAACATTGTGAGATTTCTCTTTTCTTTTTCTTTGTTTTTTTTTTTTTTC